GGGAAGAATCGAATTTTACTTGTAAGACCCTGACTTATTTAGCAGCTTTTATCTGACACCTTTTGGGGTGGCTGCCAGATTCAGAAAACATCTTTCTCTCTGGGAAGGCTCCCAGATACACAGGAAAGGGCCTGAGTGCCCTTAGCTGCAACAACATGCTATCTCTTTGCTATAGATCACTGGTTCAAAACTTCCCTTGTGTGTTGGAATCACCTGGAGGATTGTTGAAACACAGACTGGGGTGCCTGCTGCTGGATTGCCTAACAGGTTCTCAGGTGATATGGGATGCTGTAAGCCACTGCTATAGTTAGTTAAGTCAGGGGGAGTCACCAGATATAGGGCAGTCTGCTTCTCTCAGGAGTTTGAAATTTGGAAAAAAGAAACAGATGAAAGGACAGTAGAGCAGACCTCTCAAACCACTCTGTCAACCACTACTGTTTAGGTCCCCAGACCTGCCCTATTTCTTCCTGAGCCTTGGGCATTTCACTCCTTCTCTGATTATGGAGGATACCCCAAATCCTTGGAATCAACCCCTCGATCTCTTGGATTTGCATAAACTGGCCACAGAAAGTTCTTGTTGCCTGTCCCTAAAATAACTTTAGCCAACCTCACATGAGTTTATCTGTAAGTGTGTTCCGCCAGGGAACCAGGAGCCATACTAAGTAGCTAAAACAGAGATGGTATAGTCAAGGAATAGGTGCTATGGAAGCTGAGACAACCATTGAGGAGCCAAACATGCAACCCAGAAATTCGCAATAGCAGGACACTACCTCCACTCAGGCAGGTGGGACAAAGGGAATAGGTGGTGGTAAGAGAGGCCATATGACTTGGCCAAAGCTAGAACCACCACTATGCCAATCTAATGGAGGGACTGTGGCGGCCACTGCCAGAGGGGTGGATGAATATCTTGACATTTCCCATCTTCCTACCACCAGTCTTCCAGTTGTGCCTGCCCATGCTGGGAAGCTTGAAACCAAGGAAGGACAAGCTATGGGTGAAACAACCAAGGACAGTCATGGTTCAACTCTGGATTTGTCATTACTTACACTTCAGAGTGAGGTTATATGTGTATGGTATATAATTCCCAAGGGCTTCTTACTAAGACAAAGGATTTTAACCTTCAAATCAGTTTTTATTAACTCGTTCCATTAGTGGGCCTGACAGTTCTGTGATTGTCTTCAGGAGAAAGTTGCAAATGATATAAAGAACTAGCCTTTGTAGAGTTCTTGCCATTTTGAAGTGTCTTTGAATATCTCTTCTGATTTAATCCTCAAACACCTTGCGAAGTATTATGCTTAGTCTCATTTTACAAATAAGGAAACTGAGGCTCAGAAAGAATGAGCAACTCTGAATAATCAAAGCCACATTGTTCAAAAGTGGTGAAATGGCACAAACCCAAACCTGGGCTCAGCACACAACCTCAATTGTTACCAAACACTGAGGTATGTTTGAAAAACACACATAAGCATACAAATTTTAAACTCTTTCTCTCAGGTGATTTCCTCCCTTATCTCAAATGCAGGCTCTAGAGTCAAACCTGGTCACCAGAACTGAGAGAGGTGCTTTTGAACCATCAGCAGAAAGATCCATGGTGCAGTTTCCCTTCCCCCACCTGTAGTCAGTCAATAAAATCTATTCTACTTAATGGTCCCACCGGGTCCTAATTAATAGACGATGACTATGGGATGAAGCAGGGGGCTTTTCTATAAGATTATTCCAGAACAGCAGCAGCTGTGTGAAAAGAAGAGCTATTTTGACGAGGACTTCAAATCAAGCTGGACAGAGTGGCTGTTTTTGATGTTATATGAGACTCGCCACCTAGAAAGAATTACATACAACCACACACAGCGAGTATATGTGAAAGTGAATGCACGTGTGTGAACTCTTTTTTGGCACCATAGTAGTTGCTATAGCTTTTCTGGCCTCAGATCCATGGGTCACACTTCTGATGCTGAAGAGCCATCTTTGTTTCCTTGGTTACCAATGATACTATGTGTAGGGATCAATTCAAACCCAGCACTACTTCTACAAAACAACACCTCCACAATGCCTTGTTATCTATCTATCTATCATCTATCTATCTTATCTACCTACCTACCTACCTACCTACCTACCTACCTACCTACCTACCTACCTACCTACCTACCTATCCATCCAATTTATTGTGTATTAAATGACTATATAATGATTTATAATACTAATCAATATAGAGAATGGATTTCTTCCTTCCTTCCGGCAGATCCCATTCTTTCCCCTCCTTCATTGCTGAAGACCCAAGAGAACGTGGTGCAGGTGATTTCCCCTACAAACGTTACCTTCAGTATGTGCCTTAATTACATCTAAGGAGAACCTTGTTCTCTAGTCTAGAGGGATAGCTCCAGCTCAGTTCACTGCCATCAAGTTGATTCCGACTCATAGTGACCCCATAAAACAGGGTCGAACTGCCCCCATTTCTGAGACTGCAACTCAAAGCCCCATCATTCGCCCAAGGAGTGCTGGTGGTTTTGAACTGCTGATACGTTCTGACTTAAGAGACTCTATATCTAATTTATTGACTTGGTAAATTTCAGCCTCTGATTATGTATCCATCTAAAAGTTGGGTCTAGTTATAAAATGAGGAGAGTCTAATGCTGCAACCCTTTGATACAGTTCCTCATGTTGTGGTGACCCCCAACCATAAAATTATTTCCGTTGCTACATCATAACTGTAATTTGCTACTGTTATGAATTGTCATGTAAATATCTGATATGCAGGATGCATTTTCATTGTTACAAATTGAACATAATTAGAGCATAGTGCTTAATCACAAAAACAATATGTAATTACATATTGTGAAATATTTATTTCTAATTACAAATAAATGAAATTTTGTCTGGAAGCATGGTGTAGTATGGGTAAGTGTCTTCACACCAGGTACTCGTATGCGGGGCGTATCTGCCTGTGGGTGGACCCGCCTGGAGACGGATCGAGGAGCGGTGTCTGGGTTCCTAAGACCATCAGAAGTATGTCTTCGGATGGTCTTAGGCAACCCCTTGAAAGGGTCGTTTGACCCCTTTACTGCTGCCTTACAATCACCTTAGGTTGTTTTTTTCTAAATATTTTCCCTCGAAATGAATTACAACAAATTATGCCCACCCTCTAGCTGGAATATCATTGCCCATACTCTTGAGTCTGGGTTCTTTTAAATGTATGATTTTAAATGGATGACTGTCTCAAAACAGAAAAGCAATCTTTAAAATTACCTTCCTTTAATGTAGAGGGGAAAAAAGTGCCCAACCTATAAGAAACAGGCTTGTTAAAAGCAGAATTCAGCAATAAAACCCTCTCACAGCAAACTACGACATTTCCCACTCCCCTGAGATCCTCAGATACACCCATGAATGTTTCACTTGAACTCAAGTTAGCATTGCAGATTTAATTAAGATTTCAAAGTGATAACTCCAGAAAATATTGGAGTTATAAAAAGTTTATTTTACTTGGATCCCCATGCCCATGGAAGGGAGATCAAACCTATTGATTGGGCAAACCTGCAGCGCAAAACCTCTTTAAAATATTCAAAAGCAAAGATGTCACTTTGAGGGATTTTCAATAGCCTCATATGTAACAGAGAGCTGGACAATGCATAAAGAAGACAGAAGAACTGAGACCTTTGAATTACGGTGTTGACAAATAATGTTGAATATAGCATGGACTTCCAAGACACCTGTCTTGGAAGAAATACAGCCAGAATGCCTATTAGAAGTCAATATAGCAAGACTTGTCTTACATATGTTGGTCATGCTATCAGAAGGGACTTGACCCTGGAAAGGGCACTGTGTTTGAGAAAGGAGAGGGTCGATGAAAAAGAGGAAGGCCTTAATGCGATGCCCTGAAGTAATGGATGCAACACTAGGCTCAAGCCTGACATTTATGAGTGGTGTTGGTTCCCTGGCTTTGTACATAGGGTTGCTGTGAAAGGGCACAGGCTGGTGGGCACCAAACAACTGGTAAGCATTTAGGTTTATTAACACCATGGCCAACTAGCTCAACATGATGTTTGCGTCAGTATACTTTTAAAAAATCACTCAGAGGAAAACGGATAAAAGAAGGGAGAATATTGTGAAACACACTCAAACACATTATTATTATTAAAACTTTAAGCAAAGATATTATCTTCCTTGGAGTTGAGAGCACCCGGGCTCGGGAAGTCTTTTGCAGCGATGAACAAAAGCATGGCTGCGTGATAGTATTATCTCTGCAGTAGCAGGCGGCTTCCGGATGGGGATTGCGGCGACTATCTGTTACACCGCGTTTTTATTAATGACAGCCTCCGTTATTTCGTCAGCTCAGCCAACAACACTGCTCCCCGCTTCTACTAGGTCACCCTGGGGGGACTTTAGGAGAGAGGAGACGAAAGAAGGGCGAGCGGAACGAAGTAGGGCACGCGGGAATTCTTCCCTGCGGCGCCGGCGCGGGCTCGTCCCCAGGGTCGTGGGGGAATTCCAAGACCGCATTAACCCAGAACCAGAGCACCCTATTAACTAGTTGCTCAGCCCAGGAAAGGCAGTGGAAAGCTTAATCTTCCCTTCTGTTGGCCAGAGCTCCCTGGCAGCGTGCTTGCGCACAGAACTCCCCAGAGCCCGCGCGGGATACATTAAGGGTCAAGTCAAAGGGCACGACCAGAGCGTGTCCCCTCTCTGGCCGGCGTTAGCCCAGTGGCTTGGGCGTCCGAACCACTGCTGCTAACGCACCAAAGCCAGAGGGCGGGGAGGGGGCGGGTCCCGGTAGGGGGCGGAACCACGGGGGTGGAGACAGGGGCGCCTAGGGATGCATGGGAAGGGTAGTTCTTTGAAGCTCGGTAGGCGTACCTTTTGGACTCCACTTGCCCGGTGTGGACTACAACTCCCAGGATCTGCGGGCCTAGCTGGGGAGTCCATGCGCAGTGGGCGCCACTTTGTACCCTATCAGGCTGAGAGAGGGTGATGTCACCTGCGAGTTGGTAACCTACGAGCGGCTGTGAAGGAAACTGTTTAACCGGATCCCATTGTACCCAGAGCGCAGAGCTGCCTTTCCAGCATGCCCGGGCTGCTCAGGTAAGGGGGACACGCCGCCTTACCCGCCCCGCTCATTCATTAAGTGGCACCGGGCAGTGGCGCGGGGCTGAGCGCGCTTTCCCCGGCTAAGGCGCTGGGCTCCGGGCGCGCCCTCCAGCTGCCGCCCTGGAGCTCCCCGGCCAGTAGGTAAATATTAAACCCGTCCTTCAGGTTAGGTCTGGGTGGGAACGGGACGGAGACAGCTCCCAGCTGCCAAGCTGAGGATGGGAAAATGGCTGCAACGCTCCGTAAAGCAAGGCGAGCCCCAAGGAAGGCGCCCCAGAGCACGGGGTCCCTCCTCTTCGAGGTTCTGGGACGCCGGAAAGCCGGCCGGGTACCACTCGCCGCCGTCGGGCGAGCACCCTGGGGCCGGGGCTCTGGGGTCGTGGCCTTGGCTCGAGGCTGCAGACCCTGGAGCGGCTGGAAGCTCCTGGTTCGGTGGCTTCGAGAGGGAGAACCCCGCGGGCACGACGGTGGCGACAGGGAAGGAGGGACTCCCGTACCCGTCTGCGTCCGAGCGGAACCCGACCATCCCTGGCACCCGTACCGATGCCCCATTCGAAAGGGGGCGGGGTGATTGTAATTCAGGCAAAGTTGGGAGCCAAACGTCTCTAACCGAGAGGAGGGGAGCCCAACGCTGCGGAGGGAAGGGAGGGTGTTGGCGAACAGCAACTCGGGGACCGCGCCTCCTGCGTCTTAGGTTCGAGGCGCCGCAGAGCGCGCGCCTCCCGGCCCCTCTCGGCCCCTCTCGGCCGGGCGCATGGACGGCTCCCCCGCACTGTTGGCTTCCTCGGCACAGAGCCCAGAGCGCCTGCACCGGAGCCAGGGCCCGGGAGATGAAAAAGGGAGGGGGTGGTGTTGTGTGTGTGTGTGTCTAATAATCTAATGATTAGGTTCGCTGCGGAGCAGCGGAGCTGGATAATCGGGTTTTCCCAGCTGGTGCGGAAAAGCCAACTGCTTGCCATCAGCTTGGCCTTTCGACTGGAGAAAGGCGTGAGGCCCCAGAACCCCCAAGTCCTCTGAATTTCCTCTCCCGGTTTTTGGCACCTTCATTCGTTGCATTACTCGCTCATTCATCAAACCACGCTAAGGGCTCTGTTCTCCTGGAGCTCACAGTTTGGGATTGGGGGCATTCCCAATGTCTCGTTCCCCACACAATATTTCAGTGGACCCTTGACCCCCTTTCCTCCTTTGGGAGCGATTAAGAGCGAGTGCCACACCCCCGCCCCCGCGACTCTGGCTCGCATTAGAGCTGGTTCCTTTCATTGGACCGGTAGCTTCTGGAGATTCCGGCAGGATCCGGTGAATTGGAGCGGAGTTTGCCGGAGATGAATCCTGTTGCCATGGCGACTCCTGCCGTCGGAATCCTCACAGCTCCCACTGCTGTTTCGATTCGACGCGGCTCTGCGGGCAGCTGGGAGGGCGTGGTCAGTGGGTGTGGTCAAATGCTTGTCCTGGGCTCAGCTGCTCTCAACTCCTCTCCCCTTTCGCTGTCCTGGGACTGTGCTCATTCTCTTGTAAATAGCTTGGAAGGACACACATCTTAGATCTATACCTCTCTCGAGCCTCTGCCGCACCTCACCATCCCCCTTTCACAAACGAATTGTTCGGAGCCCTTTTCCTGAGACAGGCCCTGAAAATGACAATGGAAAGACGTGCTCGCGGGAACCCACCCCCAAAATGGAGCCATAAGAATCGGAGGCAGCTGGCTGTCTCATGATGGGGACTTCTTTCTTCGTGAAGAGGGCTCTTTGGTCACCAGTAAAGGTCAATTTGTTCCAGGTGCAGCTGGTCGGAAGTGATTAAGGACCATTAAGAACTCAAAGTGTGTTTCCTCTGGTGATGAGATTGAATTATGGAAGTCGCGGCAGTCGCTTGTGGTTCGCAGAAGATCTTAAAGCTGGCCCACAGGAGGCAGGCGTTGAAGGAAGGGCACACAGGACTGGGAACTGGGGCAGCTGGGCCCTTCTGTGGCTCTGCCATGGTGTCGACCTCACTCGGGTTAACCTCTGTGCCTGCGGGGTGGGGGTGGGGGTGGGGGGTCGTTGATCTCCTCATTGGTAATGTTAGGTATGTAGGGCGTCTCCCGAATCCAGGTATAAAGTTGTGGCTCTGAGCCTGACTTGTATGGCAAAATGGCCTGGCTCTTTGTGGCAAGCCTTCAAAGGGGCAAGGCAGTATTATGCTGAGTAGCTGGACACTAACTGGCCTTACCTTTTTACCAAATGCAGTCATTTGTAACTTGACTGTGTGATACAAATGTGTTGTTTTCCCTTTGCTTGCATTTCATGCCAGGGGGCTGGGGGGACTGGCCAGAATGTGTGTCTGTGACTGTCTGTGTATTTACATGGCTGGGCAGATAGATGCCTGGGGGAATATTAACGGGCCAGATGCTTGGCATTCATGGATTCATTTAATAGGTGGTTTACATCCCTGTATGGAAACAGGACTTTCAGAAGTTGTGATTTACTGTTTGTTTTTGTCCTAGAATTGATCACTCCCGATTTCCCCCGCTAGACCGTAAACTCTTTGAGGGCAGAGGTCTTTGTCTTGTCTGTCTCTTGGTATTTAGATCTCGGGTTGTGGCTCCAAGGCCTGTCTTCTCTCTGCTGATAGTTCTGTCATCAGCTGTAACATTCCTCTACTTCCCTTTCAAGAGGTTTCACCTCAGCATAAACCAAACTTCTGTATGGCACGAGACTTGATGCATATTTAAAACTTCAGTGTGTTTGATATAGACATGTTTCCTAATTACTGGCTTCTGGAAAAGATTAACCCACATAAAATATTTTTCTGGTTATAATTTCCTATCAGTTCTCCAAAGCAGGGATTTCTAGATGTCTCCGTTGCACTGCAGTTGGCCCACATAACTCTCCCAGGAGGCCAGTGACAGGAGAGCGGGGAGAGAGAAGCAAAGGCAGACACCAAGAGACAGCCCTGAGGCACCTTTTGGGAAGAACTAGGAGACAGTGTTTCTCTAGTCTGGCCTGGAACTGGTCTACGAACAAGCTGTGCTGTTCCCGACGGGCCCAGAAGAGAGAAGACGTGGGGGAAGAAGAGCGTGGGGGCATTTTTCCAATTTCTGTAGCTCTCTGTTATCCAGCGGTTGAATTCTCTGGGTTTCGGAAGTGTAAGTCAGCGATGAGGTGTGATAGTAAAGAGGGCGCGGCAGGTTACATCCTTGGGTGGTGCTCACAGGCGCTTTGTGAATAGATGCCAAGGAATTTGAAGCCTGGTTTTGTGGACATGCTTGGGGTGCTAAGAATGTGTGTCTGTCTCTGTGCTGTTTGATAGAGCTCCTTCATTTAAAAGGCTGCTTTGAGTTTTGGTACCATGCTCGTTCAAACAAATAAGGTGTTTACAAATAAAACAGTGACAATTGAACGCGTTTCATTTGGTAAATAAAATTTGAGGGCGGACTGAAGAGAATGGCTTTGGCGTGAGAATCTTGAGGTGTTCTGTGGAATCACTTAAAAAGTGAACAGCTGTTGTTGGACCAGGTTAAGCAAGCTTTTCTAGCAAAGCCTGGTGCCACTAAGAGCCTTAGGTGTTTGGATCAGGAAACAACCACAGAGCTTGTAAGTGCTGGGGCGCTCCCTGGCTGTGTCTCCCTCTTGTTGTTTCCAAGTGTTAAATGTATCCCTGTATTGCAGGAAGCAATGCAGCAAGGCCAACTCAGGTTAGCAAACTTGTGCTCTCTTAGCAGGAGGCTCCGATCACACATGAACCCTGCCTGCCACCCCACCCCCCTTTTTTTTCTTTAGAGCTTTGCTTTGGATGAAGAATATGGGCTACTATCACATTTTTTTTTCTTGGTATGACATGTTCTATCTTGTAATGGGGAAAATCTAACACTTAAAGCATCTGTTCTTAGTGACTTCCCCAAGAACTCAAAGTTTACAGGTAGAACAGGTACTATTTAAGAAATCCGTAAAGAGGGCAGGGACTGGTGCAGAGGGCTTAGGGAGCTGGGGACAAGCGGACAGGGTAGGCTAGGGGTAGCAGGTCCCTCCCTTAAAATGGTGATTTGATTTGCGATTAGATTGGATTTGTATAGAGTGGCTGGGAGATGAGGATAAGAGATTGGACTTGAAGAGTCAGTCTGGGGCCTTTTTCTAAAACAGTCCTTGAGAAGAGGTACAAATGAAGATGAGATCCAAGTTGATTTTGGCATCCTACATTCCACTGTAGGAGATTCATACTGTGGCTAAACACTGCTGTCGTTTCCTGGTATCTTTCCCACACTGATCAAGGAGCAGAAAGATGAGCATTTCAGAGAGAATTCATAGTACATAGGTCTGAACACAAGTCAAGTCCATAGAAGCATAGCAACCTATCTGCAGAGGCCCTCCCCACTCTTCGCACCCACTCAAACCCCTTTTACCCACTACTGCCTTGGCTTTGGTCAGCACAATTGCCTTGCTGATGGTTGAACCCTCTGATCTCTGACTTTCTGTGTTGATGGGCCCCCGACTAGAGTGGAGACCCTTTTGGCTATCTAAATTCTCCTTGTGCCTTCAGATCCAATTCAAGTGCCAGAGTATCCAGGAAGCCTCTGTCTTCTTCCCACTCTGCTCTTAACTCCTTAGCACCTGACCACAGCACACTTACAGCTCACGCAATACTAATCATCACATACATTTGGTGCTTACCTTCGCCAGACCCTTTCTAGTGCTTTACACAAACTAAATCATTGATGCCTCACAACAAGCCAGTGAAGCAGATCACCATTCTACTGACGAGGGCACCAAACAGGAGGAAATTCAAGAACATGCCTAGCTCAGATCACCCCCCTGCTGGGTGACAGGTTAGGGAGAGCTCCATCAGAGTCTTAATTCATTACACAGCACGTGCTATTGGTTGCTGGAGAGTAAAACTGCTTCATCTCGTAATTTTTTTTAATAGTCTGATTCTTTCAAATGAAAACCAGAAAATGTTGCCTGAGATGTATAATGTTGCTTTTGAGTAGTTGGATGATAACATCTTTGTACTGCCTCCAT